TGAAAAGCTACGGAAATAGAGGTCAGAAAGGTCACTCAATGTCTCTTGAACAAAGACCTTACCTAACCTTGACATTTAGTAAAACAAGCAAGTTCCTAGCCCAAACCTTTTAGAAATAAACAGCTACTCCCTGTTTGACCAGGTGTAGGGGTCATAAAGGTCACGCATTCTATCAGAAAGAAAGATATCCAAAACCTTGACATTTGGTGAAAGAATCATGATCCTAACCTTACCTTTTTTCAAATGAGGAGCTACTTCCTGTTTGACCGGAAGTAGAGGTCACTGAGGTCACACAATGTGTCTCAAGGAAAGATTTTCCTCAACCTTGACATCTGGCAAAAGAATCCAGTTCTTACCCTTACTTTTTTAAAGCAAGAAGCTACTTCCAGGTTGACAGGATTAGAGGTCACAGAGGTCACGCGTTGTGTCATGAAAAAAGACCTAATAAACCTTTACATTTGGCAAAGGAACCAAATTTATATCTCTGCTTGTAATTTGACACCCGATGATGTCATCATGATGTCATCACAAAGCAATCATCTTTTTATTGAAGTAGTTGCTTCTTGTAATTTTGATGAAGATCGAAGTTTGCTAAGTCACCGAAATTGCCCCTTGAATCTATGTACAAAGTAAATGGCCAAAAATTAAATGTTCAAAAATCAATAATAAATCATTTGATGACGTCATCATGACGTCACTGCTTCAGTATGACGTCTTTATTCGGGCCAACCCATGATGTAACTTAAATGATGATTGAACTACGTTAAGTGTTCAAAATTGAGCATTAAAAGTTGTGTGCAAAGTGTATGGGGAAAATAATCTGTGTCCAAAGTCTATGGGGAAAAATTAATTATTCAAAAATCAATAACAAATACATTGATGACGTCATCATTCTGAATTTCTTCTGGGAAAATTTTTGGATGATCACTCAGCTATCCTCCAAGTTTAAAATTGTTCTGATTTTCCTAGGTGCCGAAGTGTAGGGGTAGAAGAACTTGGCTGAAGAAGAAGAAAAAAAAGGAAAAAAAACCGGAACGATTACAACAGCTGGTTCGGCTGAACTGCCGAACCAGCTAAAAAAGGAAAGGAAAAAAAATAGAACGATTACAATAGCTGGTTCGGATGAACTGCCGAACCAGCTAATAATCAGAAAAACAATACTTGTTTCGGAAAAGTTGCCGAAACAGCTAAAAAAAGAAAAAAATCAGAAAAACAATACTGTTTCGGCAAAGTTGTCGAAACAGCTAATAAGACATTTTGAACCAGACATACTAAAAAATTTTTTCTCCTACTACTCTTGTGTAACTGATTTATAGCAGGCTCTAGTGCTGGGTTACACAGGTCTCCAAGGGAGCAAAAATGAACTTTGATCTTTTCAACCATGAACATATCCAGCATTTGAAGAATGAAGGAACGTATTGAGAAAGCTGGGTATGTCACAGGTGGTATACTGAGCAAAGAAACAGGAGTGGATGGTCGAAACCTCAGGGGCCCAAGTTGTTTGCCAGCATTCCTGGCCTATAAATTGTGTCTTAAACACAGTTATGACATGCTGACAATGTTGCTCCAGATTCAGACAATGATCTTTTCAATTAGGCCCAACATCCCTTCTTGTTGGAAATATGACGGGAGTTGGCTGGGGAATATCAAGATGACACAGCTCCAGCAGTTATATCCTTGGTGTATCCTTCGTGGATGCGTAAACTTGTTAATTGAGGTTTTTTCCACTGTCAGAGAGAGTGAATAGAAAAGGATCTAGTGGCTGCTTTCTGAGCTGGGGAGGGTGTTACTTTTGCTTAAAGGAACCAGGAAATAGAAATATTTGTGTAAATTTTACTGAAAACCTTTAATGAACTGGTCAAAAGATACACTCAATATTTGAGTTGGAGGAACACAGATTTAATTCTTTTCATGTGAGACCCTGGAAACAAAGTGCAAGAAGAACAGAAAATGCACAGGCAGCATTTATGATGCACCGAAAGAAAGTAATACAATATATTTATGACCATAGTGTCCAGAGTCCCAAAAGTAGCCGGGTTAAAAGTTGAAGTTCAAGAGGGTAAGTAACAAAGTTACTTTCCATAAACTTGGTATTAGGTCCTTTGGTAGCCAGGATATTGCAAAACCCTTGAAATTGCATCTTTGGTTTCATTTACCTTATTTGAAATATTTGTTTTGCAATTTCAACCCATATTTTGATGCTTTATTGGTTCTCATGCCAGTACTTATTTGCATATTCATGAGCAGAACTATGATGTCATCCAAGGCACTGAATCTCAATGTTGCAAGGCTGATTTGTGCACAGAAAATTTCTAGATTTTTTTAACGACTGCTATGGCAGATTTCATTTTCTTTGGCAATTTATTGCTGTGTAAGTATATGGCAATAATCCAGCCAAAAATCCTTTTCACAGAAATGTTCCCAGATAGCAATTTGGGGTTTACAAGTTTGAAAATGAAAACATGCGATTTGAACCATGTTGTCCTGGATTTACATCAAAGCAAAAGCGCCCTCACTTGTCCAGAAATGCTTGGCCAATTATTAATGTTTGAAAAAGTGCACCGTTCAGTTCACGTAGCTCAAAAAAGATGTCAAACAGTCTTCATACATGTAAAAAGAGTACAGGGATACTACACAAGAAGTGATTCTAAGAAAAATCCATTTCCTGGATCCTTCAACAGACTGCACAAATTGTGCCTGCTAGGGTTAGGGGAACACAGAGTTAGCTGTGTGAGGAAACATACGACCATGCATGAGGGAATCACACAACCGTCTCTTGTACTGTATTTCACCATGAATATTGGATATCAAGACTTGTGACACCGATGGAATATTTTCACAAACATACGTGACTTTTTTATAGTTAATACTTAGTTATTTTGTTTCGTTTCATTTTATTTTAATGTCTTTGCTGTTCCAGCGGGCCAAAAGAGAATCACCACCAGTCCTGCCCATCGAGGATGTGGTAAGAAACGTGTTAAGAATTGGTGTGTGATATACATGTACATTATGTGACTTTTTTGTGGGTCTATTTTCTAGGTACTTATGAGACTGAGTTGCCTTATTTTATTTTTTCCTCCATATCAGTCGGATTCGAGAGGAATTCTGCAATCAGAGAGTTCTACTGATGGAAAAATATAAAAAAGCAGAAATCCAAATCCTTATAAATTTGTGAGAGATGACGTTATGTGAGAGCAATGTGCATATTGCCGCATCTGTAGAAGTAATCATGACCCAAATGAATTTGTGAGTGCCAGCTCTTTAAGTTTAAATTGCCCAGCCAAGGGTGGGGGGTTGGTATTGTAAATGAATTCAGGAGGTGTTTTTTTACTTTTCATGTAAAGCCTCTAAAGATTCGTGAAATGCAAGTGTCATCATCGGTAACAGCCCGCTTTACAAAGACGGTTGTGGAGTGCACTGTAGCCAATGATGCCCATCAGAGTCAGGAAGTCAACTTTTACATGGAACTCCCCAAAGAGGCCTTCATATCTGGATTTCTGATGTAAGTGGAATATCTTGCTGGACTTCCTTAATAGTGAAACATTAAAGACGCTTGCTGATGATAGTGTTGAAGGCAGTGGGGTCATGCAGTTGTCCTGTATGTTGAGAGTCACTGTAAATGCGGAGTTAATAGTGTTAATTGGTGTCGTACTGACGGTAGTCATGACAACTAAGGGTGCTTTCTTGGGCAATGGCATCTTTGTCAGTGTATTTTTAATGGCATTAATACACTTTTTATCATGAGATTTAGGGATACCGTGCTTTGTTTATGCATGTGAATTTTGACAACTAATTCTGACCACACAGGCAGAAGCTTGGCCTGGATTCTGAGCACGGGGGGGGGGGAGTTNTTTTCGAGGTAGAGTGGTCTGAAGAGACCCCCTTTAAAGACACGTTACTTGTCTCCTGAAGACGTCATCATCACTAAATATGCTCAATATTTGCCTAAAGTACTAGCTCTCCAGAATATAAGCAGGGTTTCAACCAAGCACTAACAACGACAGACTCATTCCGTTAAAAAAACGTAATGGCTTTCACCACTTGTAAACAATAAGCCTACTTGTGGTTTCAACCACATATTATATATCCTAGCACTTCTGGAAACCGAATGTTACGAAAGGCCATGGTTGGTTTGATATGGGTTTTTATTCAAAATTTGATAATAAATCACGTGATGACGTCATCATGACGTAAATATTTTAGAATTATCTTCGTTGTATAGTTAGTGGTTGCTGTAAGTTGACGATGATCAACGATTATTAAGGTACGAAAATAGTGCCTCGAAAACGAGTACAATGTCAAGGGGCTGAAATTAATATTGCAAAATTAATAATAAAGCACATGATGACGTCATCAAGATGTCATAAATTTGGACGTGTCTTTGCATAAGAGTCTTTGTTGGCTGTAGTTTTGAAGTTGATCAAAGCTCTCAAAATTACCCAAATGCTGGCTTGAAAACGTGTGAACAGTCAAGGGGCTGAAATAAATATTGAAAAAAACAAGAGTAAATCACATGATGACGTGATCATGACGTCATTTATTTAGAATAATATCCGTATCAAGGTCTTCGTTGGCTGTTACTTTGAAAACGATCAAACATCCCAAAGGGTTCAAAATTGTGCCTTGAAAACGTGTACAAAGTCAATGGGCTATAAACTTGTTTGCAGAAACACTGCTCCTTTAAGTTCGTATCACGTGATTTGCGCTTAACCTGAACAATTTTTATGAAATATTACTTCATATTCGGACTCTTAGGCGTATTTCAAATAAAATAACAGAGCGTAAAGTACCCGATTTCTCCTTTGTTCTTATAGTAATCTTGTGCCGAAGATAAAGACTACTTGTTCACTTGTGTTAAGTAGAAAAA